GGCTGCGGATAGTTTCACAGTGCAGCGCCCTAACCCGCTGCACCACCAGGGAGGGCGGCCCCCTGCGTCTTTGTTGCCTGCTAGCGTGAGAGCTAGATTACTACCCCTCACCCCTCATCACTTTCAGCTAGGGGCAGGGAGGGTGGGGGACTCGGGTGGAGCTGGGGGGAAGCGGCCTCACAAACAGGTACGGATGGATGCCGGCGGCTAGGCAGCTGACCCAGGAGAGGCCCCAGTGTACCCGCATTGACATCAGCAGCGCCCCAAGGGACATGCCGTCTTCTAGCAGTCCTCTCCGGCTCTCACGATAGCAGGCGGCAGGGGGCGGGGCCCGCGGGCGGAGGCTCCTCCTTCTGCTCCCTGGCGTTGCTCCCAGCCCTACGGCTGGAAACAGGAGCCGGTCAACAGTTCCTAGAATTGTTACAGCGCATCGCGTCCGTTGGCTGCTGCTGGGGAGTTAATAATATGAACAGATGTGGGTCACGCAACTACGTCTAATAGCCCCAATTCAGCCCCGCCCCGTGAATCCGGGACTGGCGTTGAGTTGGGCTGAAGTCCCGGGGGGTCCCCGGGGTGGGGCTGGGTCTCAGCGCTGCCCGTTGACTTGTGGTGCAAAGCCCACCAGGGCCCCAGGTTTGATCAAAGTTGATAAGGACTAAATCGGTGAGAGCTGTGGGATGATGATAATAATTATAACAAAAAACAAATGCTTCCTTATTTATATATTTTAAATGATAACACATTTTTAAATGACAGTTTATTTTTTTAAAGATTTATTTATTTGTGCATACAGAACTGGGGTACAGGCCAGAGGTGCAGGGGCAGTGAGAGGATTCCCTAGAGACAGAGTGGGGAGCAGAACTGGCAGATTGAGGAAGTACACTGCTGAGGGGAGCAGTGGGAGGGACAGGAGAGGTCTGCCAGCCATGTGGGTCACCCCTGGGGCTGGAATCGAACTTGAGCTAAAGGGGCTGCAGCCAGCTTCCCAGTGCTAGGCTTTAACCCGTTGTGCCACCAGGGAGGGCCCAAATGACACAAACTTAAAGTTGAAACTTGACACTCCAGACTTTGTGCCCAGGGCTCCAGTGCAAGAAGAGACCAGAAGGGAGACTGAGGTCTACAGCTGTCTGAAGAGATGTGTCCATCTGAGACCTGGGGTTCACAGCCTGGGTTCCATTCAGTAACTTCCCACGTGGCATTTGCATCACAATGGTGGTGGTATGCATGGGGCATCTCACATAGAGGGTCCAGGATGCCATCCTTAGTACCCAGAACCAGGGACTGGCAGCCGCCAGGTAGCAAAGCCTGCCAGTGGTAACCCTGGGTCTTTGGCCAGGGCAGCAGAGTTGCTGCCAAGGGACAGAACTGGGTCTGAGTCTAGGAGTGGGTGTCCAGCCTGAGTGCTGGAGTCTGTCCTCTGCTACCCAAGGGGCCGTGACCTCTTCAGACAGGCGTCAGAGGTCCCCTGCAGGATGAGCAGTATGCTTCTCATACTGGTTCCTGGTACACCAATGCCTCACACAGGGCATTTTCAGCAGGACTCTGCTCCCCCCAAGGAGGTGGGGAAAAGGAACAGGCCCCACTCAGTGCTCATCCCACAAGACGCTGTTTACCTCTCCCCAGCTAGATGCTGGTCTTCCTCCCCAGCTGAGCCTTCTCAGGTTTGGGAGAAGAATCCCAATCCAGGATGTGTGTCTATAGCTACAGCTCTGTCTATGGAGTGATTCGGAATTGGTGAGCAGACAGCTGCAGAGGCATAGGCACAAGTGGCCATCAGAAAGGCATCTCCAGGGGCTCCTTTTTTCTTTCAACTGTGCTCATGGAGTCTAGGCCCTGGGGCTGCAGCACTGAACAAGACACACAAGCCCTGGACAGGCCCAAGCCTCTCAAAGGTACAAATCATTCATCCAAGAACTGCACAAACACCTCCAGAATTACAGCGTGAGAGGTGGGGCCAGACCAGGGCTGTGGGAACATGGGCAGGCCTCCAGAAGGAGGTGGGGTGAGGTTGCAGCAGGAGGCTACAGGCACAGGGAGCTAAGCCTATGTGCCAGGGAAGGGCGGGTGGAGGCGGCTCCTGCAGGCAGCAGGTCAGATCGGGAGGGTCTGGAGACGACTTGGAGTGAGGAAAAAGGACTCACTGTCTCTCTGGCCTCCACTTTCCCCATCTGTATAAAGAGACCACAAATAACATCCTGTGCTTCTTAGGCACCTGTCTCTTGGACCCTTCACAATACTCATCTAGAAAAATGGCAACAATCAGCACTAGCACCAATTCCACGGGGGAGCTGTTCCTTGGCTTCCCCAAGGAAAAGCCTCATCAGAATCAGAGATATAAAAGATAGACCTGGGATCCCTGGAACTTTGTTTAGACCAAAGTGGTGAGGGGAGACTGGGACTGGGTGGGGTATGGCAATCAGACCCTTACTCTCCTCCCAAACAAAGCCCAGCTCTTGGGATCTGGGAGGCCTGCCTGGCCAGAGTGTCTTTCTCCCACTCCTTGTCCTGCCTGGGCCCCTTATTTCCTGCCCACATGGCAGTGGGACACCAGAAGTGATGGTTAGGTCCAGGCTCTGTTCCTGGGGAAACATCCTTCCAAGCGGGTCTTGGGGGACAGTGTGAATGCCACCACTTAGGCATCCAGCTTTGCCAATCCCATCTGCCCCCACTTCCCCTTACCTCCAGCACAGCTAACCTTATCAGATACCTATTGTGCCCGAGGGCAGGGCCTAGTACCAAGAAAGTTCAGAAATACTTGCTGAATGAAAAACTGAGTGGGTGGGTGGGTGGTGGTGGTGGGGTGTGGGGGGGGCAGTCAGAGGGATTTGGGAAGCACTGGGGCTCTCATTCATTCATTTCTATGTAGTTCTTTCTCTACCTAAGGTCACTGGGTATGATTGGTCAAATGACAGCTGTAGGTTGGGGGCCTGGCCTACATATTGTTCCCTGGACGCGGTCACTTCCGTACTTTTCCAGCTCCGGGACTTTGGCCACACTGTCTCCTCTGCCCAGAGTACACACTCCACTCCCGGCCCTGCCCGCACTCCTGCCTCCTTCCCAGATGCCAGCTTCTTTATCAAGAGTTCCCAGCCAGAACTGCTTTCACCTGCCACACTCCCGGGTTTGTTTTTATGACAGGCCCTTGCCTCCGAGTTCCCAAAGGGCAGTGCAAGTCTCGGTCACCTTTGTGGTTTCAGTGCCATCCAGTAGGTGCTCAGTTGATCTCTGTCAAGTGAGACAAATAACAAGACTTAAGTAGAACTTACTGAGCAGTAGGTGCTTCTGGTAAGTGCTGCCTGTGTGATAATCCTTTTATTCCTCACACTAACCCAGTGAGGTAGGTGGTTTTATTACACTCATTTTGCCGATGAGGACGCTGCAGCAACAGGTTAAGTAACATGGCCAAGATCACCCAACCAGACAATGACCCAGCTGGAATTCAGCCCAAGCAGCTGGGGTCCATACTGTCACCTCACAACTGATCTACTACATTGCCTTTTGGGGGATGGCAACATCTGGGGGGGGGCGGTGGAGGGGTGAGGGGGAAGTGGTTCTGTACAGCAGGGTCCTTTGTCTCCTTTGTCACTACCAGAGAATGCACCTGCTTGAGAGGCAGTTCATCACCAAATCCAAGCCCCTGATTAAAACCCATTTTCCTTAAGGGGTCTTAACCCACTTCTGGACTCAGGTTTTCTGCCTTCTGCTTGGCACTAGTGGGTTTGATCTCCTTGGGGATACTGAATTCAGGTTCAGAAATGTTTGCAGAATGACTGCTTACATAGGTCCCAAAGACAGGTACAACTTCCAGAAGACACTTGGACATCGCCTTCCCTCCCCTGAACCTGTATCCTGCCCTAGTGAATGTGCTGACTTGCCCAAGTCACACCGTGTGACATCTGGCAAGGATTCTGAATTGCTCCAGAGCTGACACTGTGTCAACAGTCTTATTTCTCCCCATCTTGGCACTGCTGTGTGCCTGCCCTAGACAGCCAGGTGACTTTCCCCAGGACACTGGCAAGATGAGGTTACAATCAGACTGGGGTGCTCCTTGCCCCTTGAAGAACTCCTCTCTGGAGATCCAGGGCAACCTGGGACAAGGAGATAAACTGGCAGATCTGAGCCGCTTGGATGGACTGGTCTTGTTTTGACACCTGACAGTGGGTGGGGACACTTGTCAAAGGCTCTTTTTTTGCAGCAAACAGTCAAACTGAAATCTGTCCCGCCCCTTCTGGCTGGACGAGGGTAGAGGGATGGGGTGGGTAAATGGGGGTGGCTGCCCACGCCTCTGCCAACTGCTGCTAACAAGTGGCGGCTCGCAGATCAGCCAGGGCAGGTTGTGGTGACCCGGGGCGGGGGCAGCCAATGAGCTCCCAGGCTGCGGTGGCACCACCGGGCAGCCCGCCTGTCTTTGGCTGGAGCGGCGGCAGGAGGGGCCTCGGGCCACCAGTCAGGGCTGGCAGGCCCTGTATCTGGGAGGCCCAGGCAGATCTGCCTCTCGTCTTGGGAAGCCCTACTGCTACATTTTTAACTTTTCTGATCTCCTGAGGGAGGAGGGCGGGCTATGGGGGTGGTGTGGGAAGGATGGCTGGGAAGACGGCAGCCAGAGTGAAACTTCCCTAAGTTTCTTGTGCTCTGGATCCAGAGTGGCCTTAAGCTCCACGCCTGGGAGAATCTCTTTGGCTCACAGAACTGATTATGGGAGTGATGAAGGGAGGAAGTGAGAGCTTGGGGAAGCAGAGGCTGCCAATCACGGCCCAGGTTTTTGACTCGGGACTGGCATCAGGGGCTCCAGAGTCCTGCAGCGCCTTCCTCTTCGCCTGAATGATTTCAGCCCCGGAACACTTGTGACCCAAGTGGCTATTTCAAGGGGTGCGGGGGACATTCAGGTTTGTCGCTAAGAACTCCTGGTGGTATAGATGTATAGCGTCTAGTGCAGCAGCCACAGGTGCTCAAGCCCCCTCCCTTGGCCCCCTTGCTCAATGAAGACTCGACACGGCCAATCACATAATAAACATATATTTATAGATGTACAATTCCAGAATTCTAATTCAAGAAACACAGCCTCTCAGGGATCCTTTAGGATCTGTGTTCTTATTGCACATGGCTCAGCCATCTAGGGACATCTACCAAGCCCAGTCAGGGTGGTGGGGGCAGAGCACCAGGGCCACCGCAGTAGGGCGCTCTCGCCCATGTCCTGTTCTTATCATCCCTCTGGGCCGGGTGGCCGCTTCTTCACAGGGCAGGAACTTGTTTAAAAATCAGTTTGACATTTCTTTACTGACCTTTGTCTGTCAGCAAGAATCCTCTTTGTTGGGGGAGAAGGGGGGTGGTCTTAAAAAAAAAAAAAAGAGCCAAGAGAAACTGGTAGGATGGTTATCATCTCCTGGCTGGCAGCATGGGGACGTAAGGCTTTGGAAGATGGCAGGCTCAATGACACCCACCCATGAGGAAAATCTGGGAGGAATGGCAATTCCAAAAGACCCAGTATAAACTGTGGGAATAAATAAAACTCCCCTTCCCTCTCCCTGGCAGCAACTGCTGTTTTGTGAAAAATCTTCATTGGAAGGTAAGGGTGAGAAAACCCTTCTGGTTCAGGTGCATCCTTTGTCCAAAGACCAAGAGAAGGCCGGCGTGTCACATCCATGGTGGGCGGGGATTGGTGCCACGGGATGGGCTTTCTTCAGGAGTCGGCTGCTGCCCTGTTGTCCCGGGCATACCTGGTGACTCTTGCAGGGAGAGCCTCTGGAGTCCTTGGTGCACGACTTAGGAAAAACCAGTGGAGCTGTGCCCTGTGGCACCTATAAGGCAAAATCCTTAGGGACTAAGGGGGGTGGAGGTGGTCAGGCAGAACCTGGTCTCTCTCTTTCTAGCTCTGCTGTTCTCTGTGGCAGTGGGTCAGAGAGCTCCTGGCCACCAAGACAAAGAGCCCACCTGAGCTGGCCAAAGCTTGAGGATGTTCTCACCCCCACAGGCCCTGTCTGGGATTTCTATCATGACTCAAAAGTGACCTGGTACCTGTCTTCAGGGGCCCCTTTTCTCCCTCCACAGCCTGCTCTCCAATAGCTTAACAATAAACCTGGCAACCTTCAAACGTTTTCTATAGATTTATACTCATGATTACTGCTGCCATCAAAAACAGGCTGAGGTTGGGGGAGCACGCAAAGTGTATGACCCAATTTTCCTTATGCTGTCAGCTGTGGCTGATGTCCGGCCTCTGAAGGACCAGGTAGCCTTCCCCAAACAGGCTTTGTATTCTAAAATGGGAGAAATCAGCTAAACAACTGAACCAAATCACTGCATAGTTTAAAAAGTAGACTCTAGATATATATATATATATATATATCTTTATATATGACTATTTACATATAAATAGATATATATACATATACACGCATCTATAAATTACATTCTATGGAGAATTCTTTCCTCTTCTCTGTCCTCAGTCATCACCTCTGACTGGCTTCCACTGAGAGGCGACTTGTGGATGGTGGCTCCTGGGAGGGGAAGAAAGGCAATTGGGTGCCCCCTCCCCTGCCCTTCCCACAGACTCCCACAGACGTTTGCTGCAAGTTTTACATTCTACTTTCGTTGCCATGGTTTCCGTATCTTAGGAGAGAGCTGATGTGGAGCCTGAGCCTCTGCCAGCCCTGGGAGGAAGGGAAGCAGCCCCGTGGCAGGTTTTCCTGTCTGTCCTAAGAGCTTTCTGCATTTACTGGGTGAGAGAGAGGGCAGCTGTGCGGCATTCGGCCTCCAATTCCATTTTAATTTTTTTTTTCTTTTTATGTCTTTCCTTAAATATACAGTCCATCACCTTGGCTCAGTGCATGTCACCAAAAATTCTCCAGGGATTTCATACTCTGGGGAGGAGAGTGGTAATAGTTAGCTCAGCAGTCACATGCCCGGAACCTCTAGCTTAGCCCACACAAACAAGCAAACCTCCTTGCTGTCCTCCTGCCAGCTGCAGCACCCAACCCCACCCCTCCTCCAGGCTGCGCTGCTCTCCCAGAGGCAGGAGCAAACAGCCTCAGAGCAAAAGCTGAGACTAGCTGGATCCCTGCTGAGAGGACACTGCAAAGGAGGGGGTGGGCAGGGTACCAACACAGAAAAGAACCTTCAGAGGCTCTGCCCACACTCCTCTGGGCTTGGTCCAAGCTGCCCCTCTGGTAAATGCTGGGAACAGAGCCCATTAGACACACGTACAGGTAAAGGAGGCAGGGAGCCCGCTACCAGCAATTTTCATTCTTCTAGGCCCTCTTCTTTGCTTTCAACCCTGAACTCATGACCTTCTGTTCCCGTCCTCAGACCACAGGTAAGATGCCTAGGTGGGCCAGATGCCTGCGGTTTCTAGGCTGCCAGGTGCAACAGCAGTGGAGAGAGTGCTTCTGATCATATCAGAGGGGGCGTGGTCAGGAGAGAGGCCTCTCCTGCTGCCTGCTAGCTCCCTCCCCTGGCCAAGTTCCATTCCTCCTGCCTGGAAGGACAGAGTACAGAGAAGGGCTTCTGGACCACCCATGGCTCATCCTAGTGTCAGGTGTTGTGTGTTTGTGTGTTGTGGGGGTGTGGAGGGGGGACTATCTTGGGCCTAGTGATATTTGGTGGCCCAAATACCAGACAATGGCTTGCTGCACCTGGGACAGGGCCACAGTGACCTGAGGGCTAGAGTAGACCGAGAGGGTTATGTGCAGCCCTTGGCAGCAGTCTTGGGTACCCCGCAGCCCCAGAGCCTGGTAGGAGGGCAGAGGTGGTGTGGGGGTAGTACCAAAGGGCTGAAACAGACCTCAGTTTCAGCAGGCCCCAGAGCTGCCCGACTCTGCCACCTAGAGGTCAGGCCGGGGACAAAAAGTCTGTCACAGTCCAGGCTTCCTCCCTTTCTCTCTCCACCCTCCTCTGCTCAGGAGCAGGGCTAACAGGAGCTTCAGGGAGAAGGAGGCCCTGGTTCATACTTGGACCTTGGTGGCATGGCGGGTCCAGGACTATCCATGCAGGGAGGCTTGCACCTCTGACAGTCGGTTACAGCTCGGGGTGCCCATCTTCTGTGCTTTGTGGTACATGTCTGTGTTGCCAAAGTATCGGGCCCGGTATAGAAGGCCTTCCTCTGCAAAGGAATAGGGGAGGGTTGGCTGGGGGCACATCCTGTATCACCCAAAGGCTGCTCTGGCACTTTCCTGGCCTGCAAGGGCCCTTAGGGCAAGGCAGTTAGAGGCCCAGGAGCTGGAGCAGAGCTGGCTTCCCTGTAGCGAAGACCCCAAAGGAGCAAAGACTATGGTCCCAATCTGGGAGGCCAGCCAAAGCGAGAGCCTGTCATCCTGGCCAGACCTGCCCACAGATAGAGCTTGATGCCCAGTAAGTGGCCAGGAAATCTGCTCCAATCCACTTGTACAGACTTACTTCTGGCAGCCAAATGGCAGGCTGACTGCAGTGATTTACAGGCACCTGGAGGAAGCTCCAGGTGGCCCCTGGCTCCCAGCCCCAGAGAAATACAGGGGTGGAGTCCAGCTCTTGGCTGGGAGGTGGCTGGGGACAGGGGAGTGCCAGGCGCTGGGCCCACAAATCACTGGCTAAGCAGGACTTTCTCATCCCTTGGTTTTTAAGTCCTCTCCCCAACTCCCAACCCCCACTCACTTTGCTGCTTTTCCTTCCAGCAGTTGTTTCGGAGGTTGGCGATATAATCATCTTCCACATTCCGTTCTACTGTTTTGAGGCTGGAGCCTGTGTACTCATCCGAGAAGGTGTCTGCCACATAGTAGATGACGCCTAGGTGGTCGGTGACTCGCTTGTGGACATGGCCCACCGATCTGGCCAGAGATACCAGGCAAAAATTAGGTAAGATCAGGGCAGCTCAGGGACGAGGGGACCCCAGGATGGGGTACCCCACAGACCAGGGTGCCTGTTTCCTTTCCAAACTAGAGTAGCAACTCGACATCACCCAAGTGAGGGTCTGAGAAAAGGCGGGGTGGCACACCGTTGCACATGCTCCAGACCACAGCAAGCCCTCCTCAGGATCTCTGCTTACCACACCCAAACATGCGGGGGCTTTTGTGGAGAAGCCCATTTCTGAAAGGCTCTGGTCAGGGAAGGAGGGAAACTGGAGTGGGACTAGGCTTCCCCTTTGATGAACTACATGAGTTGAGTTTCCTGTCTCCATTTCCTCATCCATCCCCTAAGCTAACTGCTATGGAAGATCTGCCTGCCTAGCCGGGTGCTGCTAGAATTCTTAAGAGGCTTAGGAACAAGACGACAGGGAGGATTCCGAGCAGCTGTATCTTTCCAGCTTTGTTCTGCAGGCTGGGGGAGAAGTCTCAACACGCAGACAGGAGTCGGTGCTCTAGGGAGGGCGCCCCCGACTTCCCTCAGCTACCTCTTCTCCAGTTGTAGAGAAAGGACAGGCAACAGGACACAGAGAGCTTGGGCCAGCTGGTGAGGGCCCAGTGGACTCACTCTGCCCTCCTGCTGGCTGAGAGGGGTCCTGCCAAGCTCCAAGACAGACCCAGGCTCCCACTGTGTCAGGCACTGTCCTGGGGCTGGAAATAACCAGGGAGCTAGCGCCTTAAAAAAGTCAAATGATTAGTCCAAATGATTATTTTGCTACTGGGGAGTGAGACCACATACTGATTCAACAAATACCACCTAGCATTACTAATGAGCCTGGTATCTTATGCGTATTACTCATTTAATTTTCACAAGCTAGCAGATACTGTTATTCCAATTTTATAGGTGAGGAAGACATCTCAGAGAAGTTATATAACTATCCAGAGTCACACAGCTACTTATATTAGAGGAGCTGGGATTCAATGCCAATCTTGCTCAGTCTGACTCTAGAGACCATGTTCTTTTCATGGCCCCAGGGCCCCCAAAGAGAATGTAAAAAAAAAAAAAAGTTCTTATCTCAAGGTCAACAGATAAGAGGGTGTGTGTGTGTCACACAAAATCATGGATACACACAGTATTCTTTTAGAAAAGATCTGCAGTTTGCATTCTACTTCCTCAAGGGATTGTGATTCTGAAAAGATCAAGAACTGCAGTTCACTAGGAAAAAGTCTATTTTCTTGCTTCTAAGCAGCTTTCTGAAACATGATCACAACTTGCTGGATCAGGAGAAGGAAGGCCTCTAATGGGGCCAAGAATTCAAAACCCCTCTCTGCCCACCACCCCAGGCTCACCCCAAGCTGCAGGTACTCACGGTCTCAGGCTCAGACTGTAGGGCGGGCTGGAGACCATGAGCTGGCTGAGAGCTGACACGAGGATCAGGATGAGGATGGGCATCAGTTGTACAAACACCCCCAGCCCGCCCTGGAGGGAAGAGCCAGTGGTCACTTAAGCCAGACTGGGGTGGGGGGATGGGGTTGGCCATAGTCACCACCCAATTGTCCAGCACAAACCCAGAGGTTGGACCCAACTTCATGGTTCAGGCCATGAACCACTCTCTCCCCTTCCCTCCCATGGGCTCTCAAAATACAGAAGCTTCTCCATCTGCCAGCTTTCCTGGATAAAAACAAAGCCACAGCTGGTGCTAAATATGGGGGGAGGTGGGTTTACCTATTTACCTGAGAGAATACCAAAAAATGAGCAAAAGTTGCTGCCATCAGGAAAATGGGAGGCAGGGCTAAAGGGAGGAGTCCACTATAGGTACTACATGTGCTGTAACGATTTAATAAATGCCAGTCAAACATGAGAAACATGCATTTGTTCACTGTGTGATACTTATGATTTAAAAAACTTGTATATGTTACATACATACAAAATAAAAGCTTAAAGATGAATAAAGAAAAATAGATCACCATGTCAGAGCAAACAGGAACTCCTTGTCTGCCACCGTTTTAAACACTCCACAGCTACCCGCAGCATTCTAATCTTAGTCTTTTAGCTACTGTTTATTCTGTAGCATTCCAGATGCACTTGAAACACTGCCTTATATCGACAGCTTTTGTACACGTCTTACAGGCACTGAGAGGAAACACAAGAGCCAGCACCTATGTTGTCATCTCTTACAATTCTCCTGAAGTTTAACTTTCCGTAGCTTGAAAAATGTCAGTTTGGCATTATAAACAATGAACTGTACAAAGGCCACTCACACTAACTATTATAGTTCGTAGGTGGAGAAATTTCTGTCACATTCCCCAACAAAGGCCATCGAATCCCTATTTCTTTCTGAGCAATAAGGAGTATGGCTCCCTCTAGTGTCTGTTAGTCAAATGGCAAGAAAGGGTCAAGATGGCTCCTTGGCTGAGAGTTGTGGGGACACTGTCTTCCCAGAAAAAGACAGATGGCACACCCCGTCCTCCAAGTCCCATGCCCTGGGGTTAGGCTTGACACCCTTCCCCTGCTCTCTCCAGAGCCTTCTTCACTCACGTCACCCTGGTTCTCCCTTCGGTCCTGTCTTTGCTGGTAGGTATAGCGCATGCGGCCGTTGCTGTAGACATGAACATTACCTGGGGGTCAGAGGGGCCGAGTCAGGAACGGGGCTGTTGAGAAAGAAGAGGATCTCCTACCACCCTCCCCCCCCGCGGCCCCCCAAGGGAGCTCACTGTGGGAAGGGTGAGGGAAGGACTTACTAGAAGGGAAGCCACCACCAAAGAACATGTTGAAGAGGTCTTCAGGTGAGATGTCAGCCTCAAAGCCACGGTGGAAGTCCCCATGCCCATGGCCATGCCGGCTTGCCTGGCTCTTGTCATCCCCAAACTGGTCATACTGTTTCCTTTTCTCTGGGTTGCTAAGTACTGCATATGCTGTGCCAATGGCTGGAAAGAAGGTAGAGGGGTCAGGGCGAGGATTCTGGGAGTGTATGTGGAGTCGCCCATGGCAGTCAAGAGCTCTCTTCCTCCTGATATTCAAAGTGGTGATTTAGGAAGCGGAAGTGCTCAGGAAGTTGAGCTGCTGCGCACATTTGGGGAGTTGGAATGCAGGATACTCCTAAGTAAATCTGGGCAGCCTCGGCTGGATGGAAGATTAACACTTACGCTCTCTGCTTTCTATCTCACCACAACAGCCCAGCGTTTTCTGTGCACCAGCAGCCCTGCAGTCATTATTTAAGTTACGCTTAGCATCAACTCCATCGCCATTTTACCAATGAGAAAACGGAGACTCAGAGGTTATGCAATTTAGGCTCACATACTCTGATGTGGCAGAGCCAGCAGTCAAACTCAGGTGAGCTGGGCTTTAAGTCTGTCTCATGATTTTATGAAAATCCTCAACGTGCCCCCTCCTCATTCCTCTCTCTTGAGGGTCTCAGTGGGATGGGGGATTCCCTTTCTTCAGATTATATAATCCTGAAGTCACAGTTTGACAGATGGCAGAAACAGACATATGATGTCCTTGAAAACTGGACAGCAGAAGGAAATGCTAGCCAACTTCTTGTTGAGACTCTTCCAGTGCTGGTAATATGGCCTAGAGAGCCCTCTTGTCCCTCGGGTCCAGGTACCAGCTGATGGTCCTGGGCCTCCTGTGGGAAGCCTGTGCCCCAAAGGAGTAGAAGTACCCAGCCTAGTTCAGGGTGTGCCCAGTCTCTTGCTCCTTTTCAAGTAGCTGGCTCTTTCAGAGGAGTGCGGCAAAGACGCATCCAGTTCAGAACCCGCAGCCCCTGGAAGTAGAATTCCCTTCTGCTTCCCATCCGACAAAGCCCCAAAGCTAGACCTCGGCTCTCAGCACTGTCGGGGAAGGCTATGGCAGAAGTCAGGGCTAGAGAAACATTAACAGTGTCCTTGTCTCCTTATTTCCTTTCTCCTCTCTCTGCAGCTAACTGATAGGGCCTCTCAGCACAGGAAAACTGTTACCAAGATCCCAAGACAGGGAAATGCATATAGGTGAGCCACTCCATTACTGTGTGACCTTTGACAAGCCTCTGGTCTTCTTTTACCTCTGTTACTTTCCTGTAACACTTGAAGAACAAGGATAAAGGGGTGGCAGGAGTGGTGCTTTTCAGCTAGAGGCTACTAGGACTTTCAACTCCTGAGCCAGTGAGATCTGGGTGTAAGGGCCCTTCTTAAAAAAACTTTATTGGCCCCTTACTCCCTCCCAAGGACTAGAGATAAAAACACCAACAGTCAAGGAAACCAGAGTCAGCTAGCTTACCTTTGAAAGCCTCAGTGGCACCAGGCGCATGGTTCTTGTCTGGGTGGAATTTGAGGGCCAGTTTGCGGTAGGCCTTCTTCAGGTCCTCATCTGAGGCCCCTCTGCTCACTCCCAGGATCTCGTAGTAATCTTTACACTGTTTGACCCTGGTGGAGGAGAAAAGTGAGATGGGGGAGCTCTGCAAGGGCCTGGGGTCATGAGGAGAGGTGGGTGAGGAGTAAATAATGTATATGCATAGGTCTGAGTAGCTTGGGGGGGACTCTGGGGCATGGCTGAGACTCTACTCCTGGGACACGGGAGCTTCAGTAAGCTCCAGCTGGGAAGGGGAACAGGGCAGAGCCCAGAGGAAACATCAAGAATACATCTGGATCTCAGGACGGGTAACTACTATTTCTGTCAGGACGGGATCCATTTCTCCTCACTACTAGCAGTCCAACTGGAAGAACTGTCAGTGGCTGCCAATTAAGGCCCCTGCCCAAGGGCAGGTGCGTCCCAGGCTCAGTCAATTGTACTTTCTCCTGGCACTTCGAGTCTTGATGGGTGACACAAAGGCCAGAAATGGCAGGTGTCTGCTCACTCCATCACAGAATCCTGAAGAAACTCTGGTTCTCTTCTATCAGTTCTTACTCCCAGAGTGGGTGGAGAACTCCTAATTCTCAACCTGTTCTATGCTTTCCTAACTCCCTGTAATCAGTTTCCATTGCCTATTATTAATGGATTTGTTAGTCAGAAAAGTGTAAATTGGCATATGCATTCATGATAAACGATAGCTATATTAGGCCATGCATAGGATGAACCCCATCTTGAAGCTTGACAGTCTCTACTAAGTGGGAGTGACCTTGGAGGATCTCCTGAGGTGGGGAGGCTTGGGGAGAAATGAAAGTCTGAAGCATCCAAAGTCTAGTCTGGATCATCTCTGCCTGGTAGAGAGCTGCTCCATGCATTGTGGGCCCAGATCTGGAGGATAACTGTCTCCTGTCTCCATTCTACCCAACACAAGCTCTGGATTGAAAAGATCTTTGTTGGGGATGGCGTGTGGGTTGGGTGGGGGTGGTAAGGCTTTGTCACCATGTGTGTAAAGAGGCCTGGGGCTGCCTTGGTGGACTGGGTCAGTGGAGCCCTGATACCCCACTATTCCGGGGCTGGTGGGATACAAGGAGTGGGCCTGAGGAGCCTGGCCATTTGAATCCCCTCCAGCCTCCAGACCCTCCCAGGGTCCATCCAGATTCCAGGCATATAGGACACACAGGCATCTCCTGTAGGCTTAAAAACCTGCCAACACCACTTGCTCCGCCCCTGCTTGCCTGGCCCAGCCCTCTACCTCTTCACGGCCGCTACTTGTTCCGTAGTATAGCCTTTGGTGCTCTCTCCGCCTCCAGCTTCACCGTTGGCCGACGGGGCATCAGTCCCATCTGCTTTTTTATGTGTTGCATGGCTCTCCTCCGTGGGTTGGGACTGGTCACCAGCAGGCTGTGGTTTCTGGTTGAGAGACTCGATGAGGGCTGTGTAAGGCAAGGAAATCATTTAGGGCTCCTGTTCTGGCAAGGTCACGTGCCATAGGGGAGAGTCTGACTGGCCTGGGAAGAGGTCAGGGCTCCCCAAATCCTTGCTCATTTATCCGGCAAAGACACTAGCTGCCTCTATGACTAGTGGCCCATTCTCTTACAACCCAAAGGCCTCAGCAGTTAGTCAGCAGGGTATACAGGACATTTAAAAACAATTAGTCCTTCAGATTTTTTAAAATTCCAAAACTGTGTTAAACAGACATCTTCTGTTGAGTGCCGACATGGGCCAATAGGGTCCCCAATTAGCAGGATCATCTGACTCAGCTGGGATTGGTCAGGAGGGCTTCCTGGAGGTCTTTGCTTCACCATGAAGAGGAACAGGGGTAATGAGTGTGCCCAGAGAGCCAGGAGTGGTGCAACACATTAGAGAAATACCTGCTATGCATACTACTTGCTACCTTTTTTCCGAATGTTTTCAAAATGGCTGCCCATGTCAAATGGCTTCAATGTTCAGGGTCCATTTAGGGCATTAGCTGTCACCCTCAGATGAGGTCATGATTTTTTATTAAAAAAAAAAAAAAGATTTATTTATGCATACAGAACTGGGGTACAGGGGTGCAGAGGTGGCGAGAGGATTCACCAGAGACAGAGTGGGGAACAGAACAGGTGGACTGACTGAAATACACTGCTGAGGGGAGCAGCGGGCTGGTCAGGAGAGGTCTGCTGTGCCACAAGGAATCTCCCTGGCCAGGGACTGAATTTGTGCTGAAGCGGCTGTGGCTAGCTCCACAGCGCTGTGCTTCAATCTGTTGTGCCACCAGGGAGGCCCGGGGTCATGATTATTTAAACCCAAGTCCTTGCTGCTTGTTGTGGAGAAAGGGCCCAAACTTCTGGCAGAAGTCCTGTGTGCCCAAGCATAAAATGAGTTTTGAAACTCCAGTGATGCGTGGGGTACAGAATCCTGGGAAACCAGGTGTTGAGTCTACGGCAGGACCCTGGACACCTCTCTGCTGAGGAAGGTCAGCAGCATGGCCAGCTGGTCCCCAGCTTCCTCCCAGTGGAACAGGAGTCTGTTAGACTTAGGTGTTGTGCTGGGTGTCAGACACTCCTCCTGTGACACTGCTGGACCTCACCCAGGGGCCTGCAGCAGGGCTCACTGGGAGCTGAGCACTGGTGCGCAAGCAGACCCTGTGTCATGAGCTGCTGCTGTCTTACTTGCGGCAAACTCATATATCCCACCAAGTCAGCAGCTGGAAAATCCAAACACAGCTACAGACCGCAACTTGCCGTGTATGGGAGGTGGAGGGACTTCTGCAGCAAACCCTGACATGGAGCTGAGTAGGAAGAGCTCACATGTGCCAGGCAGTCTTTAGCTTATCTACTTTCCTCAACAGTCTTAGAAGCCCCCTGTTTCAAACCTCAGCCGGCTACTTCCTAGCAGTATGACCCAGGCTCATCTATGAAATCTCTCTCAACTTCAGTTTCCTCATAAAGGGGTGTAAGAAAGAAATGAGATAATGTGTGTCAGCACCTGGTATGGACCCTGACACAGAGGACTCAAAAGAGAGTAGTGCTAACAGTAAGACCTAGGTCAATGAACTGACTGGCAGGGAGTATGATGACCACGGAGATGGCGAGCCCCAAGGAGGCGGGGGATGAGGGGCTTAGGAATGCAGTCTCAGCTTTCAGGAGGCTATGGATCATGAAATGAGGTCTTCCCAAACTCCAGTCCATGCCATGTATCAAGGGAATAGCAATGGGAGAAACCAACAGATGTAGAACTGCTGATCAAGATGGGACAGTGGGTGGAATTATTTTGCTGGTGTCCAAGGGTTTTAAAGGAAGTTGTTTACTTCCATTTCTCTGGTCCAGGTTGAGCTGACATATATGAAGGACACAATGACCAGCCAGTCAATTGTCATGGAAACCAAGGAGCATCAGTCAAGAGATGAGCCAACTCTCCAATGTACTGCCTAGGGAAGAGTCTAGAAGCTTCTCAGGACAGTTACATGGAGTCAGGCACTCTAATTCCCCTGCAGAAAGCGTAAAAGGGAAAAGATGTGCTATAGGTCACACAGAAGGTTCCTGCTTGAGTTGGCAATGAACAATTTCTGGTTGCTGACAAACAGGCCTCTTTTGAGGCCTGGATACCCCCTCTGCCGGGGTTGGATGTGACTTGCTCATTGTGACTCACTGTTCTATCCCTCATGGTACAGTGACTATTAGGCAAATGTCACAAAAGAGTAGGAGCTACAACAGTTTAATGTGGCTCTGGAGTTAAGACATACTTGGGTTCAAATTCTGACCCTTCCCCTTTCACCAGTGGCCCCTCCTCAAACTCAAACTGGAGGGTAAGACTACCTGGATTCAAAGCTGGCTCTGCTGCTCGCTGGTTGGGTCATTTTGGACAAGGTAACTTAGCTTCTCCATGTAAAACTATTCTTCCTCAAAAAGGCTGAAAAAGTAAATGAGGAAATGCATAGAAAATACTTAACATAATGCCCAGCAAATGCTAAGTGCCGTTACTGTAACGTCTGTTTCTGGGCCCTCTTTATATATTTGGGTGCTCAACGTGAGCCAGGTAAGGGAGGCCAGAGTAGGGAAAGGGCCTGCAGGAGTCAGACAGTCTGGTCACTTTGCCAATAAATCATGGGGTCCTGTCAACTATCTTACTTCTCAGGACATGACCCCTGTCTTCAGAGGGTTCCTTTGATGGGTAAATAAGATTGAGAGAAGTAAGACTGAGGGAAATAAAGTGAGTGGAGGGTCGAGCAAACAATGGCAGGCTGATTTGAGCTCTGGAGCCCAGTGTCAGTCTTTCTCAGAAACTTATGCAACTCGAGTTGCCTGATCGTCCAGGCTGACCCTCTCTTTATATGCTGGGGAAACTGAGGTCTAAGGATGTTCTCATCAGCTTCCTGGAAAACTTGGAACCTTTTACCATTGACTAAGTCTCAGGCTAAGTCAGTGGCTACCAGGCTGCTAGGCTTTGACTAGAAACTCCCAGAAAGAGACAGACTAGCTCCACTCACCTGGCTTAGTGACCTCTCAACTTAGGGTCTGGCTACTGCTCCACAGTACAATGTCCAGCTCTTGGGGCTTGTCTGTTCCACTTCCTGCAGCTCAAGTTTTAGTCCCCTCACATCCTTTACACTGTGAGGACCTTGAACCCTTCAAGATTACTGAGCTTCCTCCCTAACCCTTCTGTCTATGCTGTCACTTCTTTACAATCTATGCTCTTGATCCTTCCCTTTTCATTTCTCAATCTGTCATTTTCCCACATGGCCTCTGCAGCAACTGACGTGCTGCTTCCCACTCCACCTCCTTGACACACTGCTCCATGGCTACCTGGCCACTACGACCTCCCTGGGGCTGCCTCTTTCTGTTGATGCTCCACCTCACTCTGTTGCTTCTATCTTTGCTGACTAAGTACAGATGTGGTTCCTGGTTGTGCCTGCAGTATCCTCTACATGTCCCACAGTGACCTCAGCCAAACAAACTGAGGAGCTCCATACTGACAATTCCTCTAGAACATCCCCCTGGTGCTCTGTCCATCTCTTCCCATCCACATTCTTGTCTTTCCGGTCACATGGCTTGTATTCTCTATTCTCATTTCTCTTCAGTATCCCTGCCTCACACAAAGCTTGGTACCTCTTCTCTGGTGACATTATCTCCATTCATACAACCTTATCTCACACCCAGTAACTCCTAACCCACTCAATGCGATTGCTCCCAACTGGTTTCTGCCTTGAGTCTCTCTTCCTTCTCAATAACTTTTCATGATATTCTTTAAGAATAGTATCCTTATCTTCTTCTTGCTATGAAATTATTTTTTCACTAATTATAGAATAAAGAGTATACTGAAGTGGCAGGAAAGGATTTCCACAATCCGTCCCCATTTATTTTTCAATTTCAATCCTCTCTATACTCAAATCAGTAGCTGGGCAACCTCCAGAACTTACCACACTCAATAGCTTACTCTAAAACCTTTACAACTTTTAGCCTCCATGTCTGTTTCTCAGAGATCCCATTTTTCTTCAAAGTACAGCTCATATGCTACCTCCTGTTCTATTTACTGAAACCTTCTTTCACTGTGATCTACCACTATTTTTATGTTCTTGCTATAGCCCTGATTATATGGCTTATAATTTAATGTTCAGAATACTGTCTTCTATACCTTCCACCTCCAGCACTCCTCCACCTTCCCAGATTGTGAGCCCCAGTCCATCCTTATATTGCTGGCATCTAACAAAGTGCTAATTAAAAAAAAAAAAATCACAGTTACTGTCCTATGGCTTGAGGTATTACTTTGTCTCTAACTCTGTTTCCTTCACTAGACCGGCAGCTTCTTGAGGTGAAGGATTCTGTCTCACTAGTGCTACTAGACCACGTAACACTGAGCAAGACGACTGTGTAGCAAATAGTAAAACAGTCTGCTGTATCAAGCCAGCAATCTACAATGAGCTCAAACCTCAAATTACAAGTGCAGATAACTACTTAATATTTTTAACCAAGACTTCTCAACTTAGTGGACTGTAGAAGTGAAGTTTACTGAGAAATAAGGCATAAACTCTCTGCAGGAGAGCATGAAGATGACAAATGTGTACAGGTGACTGCTCTGCCTGAGCAAATCAAAGTGCCTGAGCTCCAGGAAGGAGATGCATTGAAGCCCTCTCCTAGTACGTGACCTACTTCACAGGGAAGCCCCCAAGCAGGTTACCTCCTGGCAAATACAAACTTTCTCTAAGAAGAGGCAAATGTGCCAAAGACCAATCTGTGGAGTCAAAAGGGAAGAAAATTCAGGGGTTTTAGGCTTCTGTCAGTGTTCCTCTTTCTCAATTTCATAATGCGGGCAAAAGTTAGTAGGATGACTAAATTTGACTTCATTACTTTAAAAGACATTTCTAGAGTCAGAGAACTTTCCAGTTCCTAGCTGTAATCTTGGGTGAGTCCTTGCTTCTGAGCTATTTCCTCACCTACAGAACAATGATAATGATCTTTGTTCTGCCTCCTGATAGGGCATGTCCAATGAGAAAGTGGATTTGAAAGAGGTCCCGCTGAAAATTTCAATGAGTGTCATTGTTATTCATGTTATCTATGTAAGCCTCTAGTTCTGCAGGCAAGCCCAGAAAGAGCCCATGGCAGCAGTCAGGACGAAAGTCAGTCAGCCTTTTGATTCTGAGCACCTGTTCTATGCCAGGCAACTTGCTAGGTGGTAAATACAGGCATAAATCTTACATTCAACGGAATACCTCTCCCCCCCCCCAACTTGTATTGGAAAAAAAAAAATTCCTCACTTAAAGTCAGCATTTCTCTCATATAACAAAAAACATTTGAAGACTTAAGGTAAAGACAAAAAAATTCCTGGGCACTATTCCCTGCCTGGTCTGTAAGTCTTCAGTTGAGAGCTGCTTAGCAACCTACTGCTGCCCAGCAGTTCAGATGGCCCACCCCCGATGGACTTTAGGGGGCTGGAGTGGTCGGGGTGTCCAACAAGGCCATCCGCTCCGAAATCTCACAAACCCGTGAAAAGGCTCGAGGAAGGAGGGGGTGCGAAGCCGGGTCCAGGAGCAGACCGTCCAAGGTGATGTGAAGTGGGGGAAAAGATAGGGTCTGGTCTCTGGCGGGTGGTCCCCGACCAACTCCAGGCAACGAGTGAGGGAGTGAAAGGGTGGAGACACCTCCCCTCACAGTCCGAAGGTCGGGACTTTTCGTTCCCTCACGAGAACTCATTCTATCTGAGGAGTTATGTTTATTTTCTCGAACTGTAATTTTTCCCAGGCCGGCAACTGACCCTGGGCCACCGAATGGCCCCTTGGGAAAAGTAGTTCGATTTCTCTTCCATATAAATTCCCGTTGCTCCGTCCACCAGTCTGTCTCATTCTCGGGAACCCCAAATCTCAGAGGGGTCTAGGAAAACCCCACAGAACTGAAGCAGCGAACGCTGGGGTCCCTAGATGCCCAGCATATAGGCGAGGCGTGGGAGTGAAAGACTACATCTCCCAGCAGTCACCGCGCACCTTAGTGCGCAGGCGTAGCCGCGCCTCGCCACCCCTCCCCCTCCACCAACTGCTCCCGTCGGTCCGTTCCCGTATTCCCCCCCATCAGTTCTAATGTCCCTTCTGTCTCTCCGGTACTTATCACTCACTGCGAACTCGCGGCGTCGGATACAGCCGCTGCGCCTTCTCCAGGAAGCGGAGGGCCCGGTCGGGCTGGTTGCTCTGAATGGCCTTGAGGGCGATGATAATACAGCGCTCGGCTTCATCCTTGTTAGATTCCATGGCGGAACCAGAGCGCGGAACCAGGGAGGGGGAGGCCGGGCGAGCGAAAGGCTGCGCCAGCCGCCGGCGCGTCGCGGGGCAGGCGAGCGCAGGCTGATGACATAAAAACCTCCGCCCCTTCTTTCCCGAGATGCAAGCGAAGGCGGAAGCACTACCGTATGTCTTCTAAGAGAAGGACTCTAAGTGGTGTTTATAAGATTGGGTGCATGCCCACATTCCTGGATCCCATAGGGTTATGTTAGGGGTACTGAAAGTTGCACATTCTTGGTAAAACTCATGCATTTGAGACGTAAGTAATTAATTCATTAAAATATATTAATTACCCACTACTTGTTCGGCTGGGGTAGGGGTGGTAAACAAAACAAAGCCCCTGCCCTCATGGAGTTTACATTTTAGAGCACAGAGACAGATATCCAAGAAACAGTATGTATCCAGATAGTTATACACGCTATGAAGATAAAAGAAGAAAGAAGAGGAAAAGTAAAAAGAAAGCGGAAGGTGTTATTTTAAATAGCCTGATAAATCTCTCAGAAGCTATTATTTTAACAGAAATCTGAATTCTGGAAAGAGTAGATATTCCATATGTACCTTTCTAGAGGAAGGGTTTTCCAGACAGAAGGAAGAGCATATGCAAATGCTCTGAAGCAGTAATTTTCTTGGTGAGACAGTATCAAAAAGAACACACTATAGAGACCACAGGTAAGTTATTTTATGAAGAGAGTATAAAATAAGGCCTGTCATTTCTTTATGTTAAGGAACTGAATTGTGATTGACCTGTTATTGGCTGGTGAGCCCTCCTTTCCCGCAAGGCATATAAGTGACAAAATCTTATTTAAATTTTGAGTCTGTAGTCAGTCCTTTGGCTTGACTGGCAGAGTCTACAGCTGGAGAGGCCAGCTGTGTGTGTGTGTGTGCGCGTGCGCGTGCGCGCTGTGCTGTGTGCCTCAGTTTTACATTTTTTCTTTGTCTCCACTCTGCTCCTGAGCTGGGTACCTGAACAATTTCAGTTTAGAAAGGCTTTGTTGTTTCAGAAGGGTTTACATACTGAGCCTGAAGGCTGGATTAACCCAGTCCCCATGTTACCACTCCCTACCTTTATAGATTTTAGTTAAGCTGGTGTCTTCTTTCTTGTCTAGAGGCATTTTGACTACCTTTGGCTTTTTCTTTCCCAGGCCTAAGCAGGAAGAGAGTCACACTCCTGCTCAGGTCATGTTAGACATTATGGCTCTTGGTCTTAAGAATTTGCTTGAATATGGTTTGGTGCTGGCATGTCAAGAATGGCCTGATATTACAGTTTCTGGTAAAATCAAGATGTCATGATTTTCATCTAGGGAAAAATCATAAACGTCTGACTATCTGGAATCCTGGTATCTGGGAGGGAATACAGCTCACTCATTGAGGAGCACCACCATACATTATTACCCAAACAGAAATCTGAGTTTCATCTTTATGCCTTCTCCCTTATCCTTCTCTGGTTTGTATGTACCCATTTTTACCCTTCAGGCTTGAGCTAAACATCTTTTGAATCTGTTAACCACTCCAACTCTGAAGCCTTTCTCTTAATCTGGGTTTGAAGCACCTGCTAACTGGGTTAGCCATTTCCAACCTGGATCCCCATCTGTGATATTGAAGCAAGGCAACTTTTCCAAAATGCATCATTTGCCTGCTTAAAACCCTCTGGTAACTCTATATTGGCATGAAGTTGTTGGCAATGTTATTCTTAAAACTACTAAAATATCTAGTTACATGCACTCTCAGTTCCTAATAATTACTTTTGCTCTTTTTGGGGGTTTAATATGTTCTTTTTCCAATTTCTGAGGCACATAGTTACATTATTTTCAGCCCATTTTCTATAAATAATTATGGCCTTACTAAGTTTATAAGTTCCTGAGTCCCACACTTTTTAAATTTTACAATTATCATATTCAGTTTTAAGTATTTTTTAAATTTCCATGATTTTTTCTACAACCTATGAGTTATGCTTTAAAATGTCCAAATATGGCTCCCCTGGTGGTGCAGCAGGTTAAATCACAGCAAAGGAAGCTATACACAGCCACTGGCAGAATGAATTCCATCCCCAGCCAGGAAGGAGACCCACATGGCGTGACAGACCTCGCTTGTCCTGCCCGCTGCTCCCCTCAGCTGTGTATTTCAATTAATTCACCTGTTCTGTTTCTTACTCTGTCTCTGATGAATCCTCTCACTCTCCTCACCTCTGGCATGTACCCCAGTTCCTATATGCATAAATACACAAATCTTTAAAAAAAATTGTATATATATATTTTGTCATTTTAAAAAAGTATGTGAATGAGTGCTATCGTCATTAATTTTGGGGTCACAAAAATAATTTCCTAATCTGTACTGGATATGCCCTAGAATTTCAGTTCCCAGAAACATGGTTCTTGACCCTTGAAACTTTGTACAATTTGGCACCTTCTGCCTGAAACCCTGACCTTCCCTCCCAAGCCCCCACTGTCAACTCCTCCTCAACACTCAGGTCTCAGGTTTTGTTTTTTTTTTTTAATTAAAAATAAAGCACTTCTTTTCTAAGTCTGCCTTGAACTCCCAAGTATGATAATTCCTTGAGCACTTTGTTCAGTACCTGGCACATTGTAGGTGATTAACAGAGTTGTAGAATGAACAGAGTGACACAGCATACCCTCTCACTTTCTGGTAAAAATCCCCATTTTCTCATGGGCAGAAGAGCTAAAAAGACACTTCTCCAAAGAGGAAATGCAAATGGACAACAAGCATATGAAAAAATGTTCAACATCACTCGTAATAAGGGAGATGCAAATTAAAACCACAAT